TGTCTTGTTTTATAAATCTCAAACATTTATAAGCAGTACTGGCAACTCTTATTTTCATATTTGACAGTATCCCATGAAATAGATTAGATATATTCTATACATTTAATAACCTTGTTTCTGGGTTTCATGTAAACAACATTTAGTGGCACCTACAATATGTGAGACCCTGTGTACTATTCAAGGGAATAAGATGTCCCTGATTGAAAGGTGTTTTTTTTTTTTTTTTGAATGCAAATTTTACATATTTATAGAGTATATGTGATAGTTTTATAACAAGCATACCATGTGTAGTGATCAAATCTGGGATAAGAAAAATGACAACAAAACCTCAAGATAACATGAAAAAAATAAATAAATAAATCTAGTGAGATGTCATTTTGTATGCTTGGAACAAAATGCTTACCGTTCTGTGATTAATAATAACCATAAGTTTTGAAGGTGAAGCGACTAAGCACATTATGTATATATTCTGATACCTATATAAGCATTATTTTTAGTCATGTCTTAAAAAAAGAAAAGGGGGGCATTCATGATGGAACGAGAGAGTTTAGCAATTGACTTGCCATGTGGTCCAAGTGGATGCCTCCCATTTGCCCTTCACTGAGATCTTCAGAAGGCACTACCAGAAAACTGAAAGTGACCACGTGGTAGGTGAGAATGAACTTTGAATGAGCACTGAAGTCTAATTTGCATCTGAAGGGAGGATGCTAGTATTGACTTTATTTTTATTGTTAAATACAAACTTGAAAGAAATCAGACCATAGAACTGTGTCCTAGGAAAGGTAAAAGTCTGGCTCTTCGAGTCCAGGCCCCCACTCATAACTGCTTTAACCTTTGGTTTTTATCTTGCCTGACTTTTTTCTCTTCCAAAACTCTGAATCAGAGAAATGTAGTGGTGGAAGGAACCAAAGAAATCAAGTCCAACTTTAACATTTTGAAGAAAATGAGCAGTCCTGATTAAGTGGGGTTACAGTTGTTAACCTAAAATAATTTAAAAGGTCAGAATCTAGTTTTTAAAAAGTGTAAATTGTAAAGACTGAGGATGGACCACCCACCAAAATATGGATTTTTAAGAATGGAAGCCAGTGTTCTAAAGTGTAGAAGTTTCAGATTGTTTATGTAGACAAAGTTTAGGGACATTTAACAGAATTTTAATATCATTTTACGTAAGGCTTATTGTAATGATCTGGTTAGTTGAGATGGTCTTTTGGGGAGGTAAAGATATATTTAACAGTTAACACTAAAGATGTAACTGTCCCTGTTTAAGTACCATCTGGTCTGAGTCAAGTACAGGACAATAAAGGAGGCAGTTAATCTGTAATAAAGATCAGTGATGGGAAGGGGGAATCTGGTCTCTGGTCTTTTTTAGTGATTATAGAACAAGAACAATGAGGAAGAGAGTTAAGCTATATCTAAGAAGCAGAATTGCAAACATGCTACATGACTCAGATCACGGTAATTTCTCTCTCAAGGTTCAAAGTGTTTTTGAGGTTCCAACAGCTCTTAAATGTTACTTATTTTTACCCAGTTGTAGTAGCAGAATTGGAACTAAAATCCAGGGCTCTTACTGTCTAAGCTGCAACTGCTTGGGCTTCAGTTAGAGCTTGTGCTACTGGACAAAATCAGCACTGTGTAGTTCTAGACAAGCACCAATTATGAAAAACAAAAGTTGGAGAACTCAAGTCCAAGCTGATTTTAGAATTAATTTTCTTTTTCTTTCTTTTTTTTTGAGTCGGAGTCTCCCTCTATCTCTCAGACTGGAATGCAGTGGCATGCTCATGGCCACTGCAGCCTCAACCTGCTGGGGTTAGGAGATCCTTCTACCTCAGCCTTCCAAGTAGCTGGAACTACACGCATGTGCTACCACTCCCAGCTAAACTTTTGATTCACTGTAGAGATGAGGTCTTGCCATGTTGCCCAGGTTAGTCTGTGGAATTCATTTTCAAGACTGAGGTATTATGACATCTCAAGTAGGAAATTTTGTTTCTTTTTATTGTTTTTGCTTTGTAGATGTAAATCAGACCAGTCTCTTTCCAAACTGAGTCATTAGCTCTTTGAGCCACTGGCTCCTACTTTTTTTTTTTTTAAGTAGTAGTCTCATTCTGTTGCCCACCCTTGAGTGCAGTGGCATGCTCACAGCTACCTCAGCCTCGACCTGCTAGGCTCAGGTGATCCTTCTGCCTCAGCATTGCTAGTAGCTGGATCCACAGGCGCACACCACCACACCCAGCTAATATTTTTGACTTATTGTAGAGACTAGGTCTAGCCAGGTTGTCAAGGCTGGTCTTGAACCCCTGGACTCAGGCAATTCTCTTGCCTCCACCTCCCAAAGTGCTGGGATTACAGGCTTGAGCCACCGTGCCCAGCTTTTTACTCCATTTTTAAGAAAAGCTATGGCAGAAATTGTACTCTTGAAGTCCCCAAGACATAGGTCAAACACCATTAGTAGATCTTCATGTGACAACCCTAGGTTTACTTGGGATTTTCACATGACAGAAAAATGCAGCAGACTTCTTCTGTTCTTCTCAACAACACTGGGAACCTCTGCTGTTAAGTAATGCAAAGAAAATTATATGACCATGTATAACAAAGTATCCTGGATCTCTGACCTCTTGGAAGTGTACATGAAACAATATCTTAAGGGTACAATTGCATAGAGGTCAGTTTATATATATATATATATATATGTATATATATGTATCTATGTATGTATATGTATGTATAATTTATACAGTAGAATTTAGTCACATTACCACTGATTACAACTAGAAGGATCTATGTAATGCCTGTTTTTAAAAAGTGCAAAGTAGTACTCTGCCTAAATGTGTAGCATAGAGGAAAATGTGAGTAGTAATAATTACAGTATATTTGTTAACTTGAAAAGCACTTTTGTGCCGGGCTCAGTGACTCAGCCTGTAATCCTGCGCTTTGGGAGGCCAAGGTGAGTGGATTGCCTGAGCCCGCGGATTCGAGACCCTCCTGGGCAACTTGGCGAGACCTCATCTCTACAATAAATCAAAAAAGTAGCCGGGCGTACTAGTGCGCGCCTGTAATTCCAGCTACTTGGATGGCTGGGGTGGAAGGATCGCCAGAACCCAGCAGGTTGAGGCTGCAGTGGCCGGGAGCGGCCACTGCACTCCAGTCTGGGTGACAGAGGGAGACTCCAACTCAAAAAAAAAAAGCACTTTTGCATCTGTTAATTTGGTTTAAGTCTCACTACTCTGAAGTAATTAGAGGCTGGGTATCCTGATGCAGGAAATAACATTTTGGTTATCTGAGCAGATGCAGGTAGTTCTCATTGCCCTTAGGGCTTTTGACACAGCTATTGCATCTCTAATTTAAAAAGAACAAACCTGATAAAATAAAAATCTAAGTTAACTACATGACCCTCCCCTAAATTATTTGAGGCTCTTTTTCAGGTTCAGTTGATGGTTCATTTGACTGTTCTTTTGAATGTGAAAATACTGAAATTAGAGCTTGTTCTCTGAATTTCTTAGTATGCACCTTCATAATGGGTATTTAAAACCTGTCATTAGAAAGTTCATAATGTATCAGGCTATTATGATATGTAAAGTTGATGAAAGCTGTCTTTGATCTATTTGTTTGCTTAGATTTCTTCCCTGAGAGGTAATTTTCTTACTAGCAGCCAGTTCAGATTCTTCTCAAAGATGTTAAGACTTACATTTAATGGTTAATGATGATATTGGATTAAACTCTTTTCAGTTCTATAAGTTACATAAATTCAGAACTTAATTTTAATTAATATGTATACCTAATTGAATATTTTCTTTATTTCCCTTTAGGTGTCTTATAAGACTTTGAACTTTAATGTTTTGTCATCTGAAAAAAATGAATTACCTGTGATATTTGGACTTTGTTGTAGTTGGTCTATCTCCCCTTATACCTATAGGATTGGGTACTACCATTTTTGTCTAGTTGAGAATATGGGAAGGAGAGTTTCATATCCTCCCTTTTCTCTTCATAAGGAAATGCAGCCTCAGAGTGATTCTATATTCTAGACAGTTCAAAAAATTTTGAACCATAAGCTGTGCTTAGTTTCAGGTGAGGCTAATGGTTTTTCAAACACTAGAACGTTTAATTCAAGTAGTTTTAGTATACATATAAATGTCCTATAGCCTAAACGTCTTTTACTTTTCAAATTACTCATAAGTTTGGTAAGTCATTTATTTAAACAAATATATATTAGGTCCTAATGTGTACAGAGTATATGCTAGGCATTCTAGGAATATTTTCAGAAGACTACAATATATTTCCTTTGCCATCCATATATGGGAAATTCCATGAGACATACATGTTCATTTGAGGGAGGAGAGAAATATGATCTACTTGGAGAATGTATTTGGTACTGAGGAGTAAGAAAGGAGCAGTTAAGCAAGGATGTCTTTTCTTAAAATTAAAGAAAAACTTGGTTAAGTTGGAAGTTTTTTTTTTTTCTTTTTTGAGTAGGAGTCTCACTGTGCCACCCAGGCTGAATGGCAGTGGCACGTTTCCAGCTGCCGCGGCCTCAACCTGCTGGGCTCAGGCGATCCTTCCGCCTCAGCCTTCCAAGTTGCTGGAACTACAGACATGCGCCCCCATGCCTGGCTAATTTTTTGATTTATTGTAGAAATGAGGTCTCACCAAGTTGCCTGGGCTGGTCTCACACCCATGGACTCAGGCAGTCCTCTCGCCTCCCAAAGTGCTGAGATTATAGGCTTAAACCACCGCGCCCAGCCCGAAGATTTTTTTACATTTGTTTTTTAAGACTATAAATTACAGTAATTGTTTTTCTTAAAAGAAATAAAATTTTGTGTTCCCCAAAATAATGTATCAATAATGGGAGAATCTTCACCAGAGTTGTACTTAATGCTGCCTACCTTAAGTAGGTGGTACAAAAATTTAAATATATTAGGAGTCAGTTGTATTTTATTGCTTTTATTAGTATATTTCATTTTCACTGTGTTATTTGTAACTTTTGTCTTGTTTCTTCATATTTTAGACCTGGAATGGCCAAATATCAAGGGGAAGTTCAAAGTTTGAAACTGGATGCTGATTCAGTTATAGAAGGAGTAAGTGACCAAGTACTTGTGGCGGTTGTGGTCAGTTTCGCTTTGATTGCTACCCTGGTATATGCACTTTTCAGGTGAGACTAAAGGGCAAAAGAATTGAAATATTATCTTTTTCCAAGTGCTGACATTTTGATGCCTCGTGATGTATAATACTTAATATGGAAAGCAAATAATGGATTTCAGTAATTGTAGATACTTACTAAGGTATTTTATTTTCCATTGGCGTTTGAATGCTGACATATATTTTTCCTGTCATTAACTGTCTTATCAGATAATATTTAAATTCATCATCCATATTTTGAATAAAATGTAAATATTTTCCAGAATATCCCAGTTTTAAAAATTTAATTTCATAATTGAATCTATCAATTTGTAGGTAATATAGATAATAAGTGCAAAATATTTAGAGTTTTTAAATGGAAAAACTTAGGCAAAAAAGACTTGGAGAGTGTAAAGGGAATTAAGGTTAGAATTTATTTAATTTTTTAGGGACATAGTCTTGCTATATTGCCCAGGCTGGACCAAGTGATCCTCCTGCCTCAGCTTCCCAAGTTGTTGGAACTATAGGCATCTGCTGCTATACCTGACTCTAGAATTTATTTTAATTATTCTTAATTAACTGATTATTGTAGGATCAGGAATAATATTTAAAAGTCTCAGATGTCTATATACCAATATGTACAAACCAGGTAATAAAGTAGAAATTTCAGCATTAATACGTGAAGATAAATAAACTTTTGTATAAATCATTGAAGGCAAATAAAAAAGCATAAAGTAGAAAAAAGGTTTATTCCAAAAATTACAAATCAGTGTGTTTCCTGTAAAAAATATACAATGGATTATTAAACAAAATGTGAACACTTAGAAAAATGATAATTAATTTGTTACTCTATTACCTCTGCATTGATAGCCTCTTATTGGTTAATATAGCTTGATTTCAATAGGATATTTTACAAAGTGGTAATCCAGAATGATACTGGTGATATACCTGTGGATATAAGGTAGAAAATGATGATTAGATGATAGCAGAGTTAAGTGACTTCATAACTGGTTGGCAGGTTGTTCTTAGGGGTCCTAACTCATGTTGTAATATAAATCAAAAGGGAAGGTATATTGCTGCAAGGCTCTGTCCTTGAGCCTGTTCTTTTCATTCTTAATGACAATTTGGATAAAAAAGACATAAGAAGCATTCTTATTAAACTGTCACTTGGAAAAGATAGCTAACATGTTGGTACAATAGACTCAGATTTATAAATGGTCAAGCAATATATGTTTGGTCAATTGACAAGGGTGACAAAATCACTCAGTAGGAAAGATTTCAACAGATGGTGCTGAAACACTGGATAGCTACATGCAAAAGAATGAAGTTGGACCCATGCCACACCATATCAACTCAAAACCTAAATGTAAGAGGCAAAATTATAATACCTTTAGAAGAAAACATAGGTGTAAGTCATCACGACTTTGGATTTGGCAAAGGATCTGAGATATGATATCAAAAGCATAAACAACAAAAGGAAAAGTAGACAAACTGGACTTCATCAAAATTAATAACTTTTACTCATCAAAGGACAGTATCATGAAAGTGAAAAAGCAACCTGAAGAATGGGAGAAAATATTTGCAAATTATATATTTGTTAAGGCATTTGTATCTGGTATATATAACAAACTCATAACTCCACAATAAAATGAGAAATAATCCAATTAATATATGAGCAAAACATCTGAATAGACATTTCTCCAAAGAAGATATACAGTGTCCAATAAGCACATGAAAAGATGTTTAACATCACCAATCATTACAAAAATGCAAAATCAAAACCATAATGGGATGCTACCTCACACCCATTAGGATGACTACATTAAAAAAAAAAAAAAGACAAGTGTTGGTGAGGATGTGGAGAAACTGGAACCCTTCGGCACTATTGATGAGAATGTGAAATGGTGTAGCTACAGTGGAAAACATTATGGTAGTTCCTCAAAAGTTTTTTTTAAAAAAAACAATAAACGTGATCCAGCAATTCCGTATTTGACCATATAACCAAAGGAAATGAGAGCAGGAACTTGAAGAGATATTAGCATACCCATGTTTAAACAGGGTTATTCACATTACCACCAAAAAGTGTGTCTAAAAAGTGTCTATCAGCAGATGACTAGGCAAGCAAAGTGTGATATATACACATAATGGAATAACATTTAGCCTTAAAAAGAAAGGAAATACTGCAATTCTACCAAACATTTAAGGAAAAACTAACACCAGTCCTTCTCAAACTTTTCAAAACTTGAAGAAGAGAGAATTCTTCTTAACTTGTTCTCTGAGGCCAGCATTACCATTATACCAAAGCCAGATAAAAATGCTACAAGAAAAGAAGATTATAAGCCAATATCCCTGAAAAATATAAATGAAAGAATTCTCAACCAAATAGTAGCAAACTGAATTCAGTAGCACATTAAAAGGATACTATGCCATAAACAAGAGGGCTTTATCCTTGGGATGCAAGCATGGCTAAATATATGTAAATCAAGAAATATGATACACCATATTAACAAAATGAAGGACAAAATCACATGATTATCTCAATAAATGCAGAAAAAGCATTTGCCAAAAATTCAACATACTTTCATGTTTTAAAAAACTCTCAACCAATTAGTACAGAAGGAATGTACTTCAACAAAATAAAAGCCACATATGATAAAACCACAGCTGACATCATATTCAATAGTGAAAAGCTAAAAACTTTTTCTCTAAGATCAGGAATAAGATAAGGATACTCACTTTGTCACTTCTATTCAACATAATCCTGGAAGTCCTTGCCAGAGCAATGAGGAAAGAAAAGGAAAAGTCATTAGGAGTAGAAAGAAAGAAGTAAAATTGACTCTCTGAGCAGATGACATGATTGTATATTCAGGAAAATCTAAAGACTTCAAAAACTTTTAGAACTAATATATGAATTCAGTAATAGGATGAATTCATGTTGTAAAAACTAGATTTTTTTTTTTTTGAGTTGGAGTCTCACTCGGTTGCCCAGACTGGAGTGCAGTGGCATGCTCCCAGCCACCACAGTCTCAACCTGCTGGACTCCGGTGATCCTTCTGCCTCAGCCTTCCAAGTAGCCAGAATTATAGGCACTCGCTGTCAAGCCTGGCTAGTTTTGGATTTATTGTAGAGATGAGATCTTGCCAAGTTGCCCAGGCGGGTCTCGAACCCGCCGGCTCAGGCAATCCACTCACCTCGGCCTCCCAAAGTGCTGGGATTATAGGCTGAGCCACCGAGCCCTACCTAAACTAGATATTTACATGCAAAAGAATGAAATTGGACCCTTATCTCACACCAGCCACAAAAATCAACTCAAAATGGATTAAGGACTTAAACATAAGACCGGCAACTACAAAACTATTAGAGGAAGGCCCAGCGTGGTGGCTCACAACTATAATCCCAGCAGTTTGGGAGGCTGAGGCGAGATGATTGCCTGAGCCCAGGGGTTCAAGATCAGCCAGGGCAACTTGGCAAGACCTTGTCTCTACAATAAATCAAAAAATTAGCTGGGCACAGTGATGTGCGTCTGTGGTTCCAGCTACTCGGAAGGCTGAGGCGGAAGGATCACCTAAACCCAGCAGGTCGAGGCTGCAGTAGCTATGAACATGCCACTGCGCCCCAGCTTGGACAAGAGAGTGAGACTCCAACTCAACAACAACAACAAAATAAATAAAAGAAACAAACATAGGACAAAAACGTAGGGAAAAACTTTATGACATTAGTCTGGGCAATTATTTTTTTGCTATGATCCCAAAAGCCCAGGCAACAAAAGCAAAAATAGACGAATGGAATTGCATCAAATTAAAAAGCTTCTGCACAGCAAAGGAAACAGCAGAGTGAAGAGACAACATACAGAATGGGAGAAAATGTCTGCAAGCCATATACCTGATAAGTGGTTAAAATCCAAACTATATAAGGAACTCAACTCAATAGCAAGAAAACAAATAACTCAATTAAAAAGATAATAATTGTTAGGGTACGATTAGGGTGAGGGTGGATGGAGAGGCGAGGGGATGTGCAACACCTGTAACCCAGAGATCCAGGTAATGCAAAGAATTGGAACATGTGAAGAGGTAAAGAAAGAAAAGTTGATTTGAAAGTAAATTAGAAAAAGAGAAGGGAGAGAGAAGATTCACTTCCCCAAGGTGGGGAAGAGGGCCAAAGCCAGGAAGTGTGGTGACAGCCATAACTCAAAGAACACGTGGCCACGCCAGAGTCTAGCAAAGCAGTGGCCACTGGCTGCTTGTGGTTGAGTCCTTTTAACCATTCCCCTCAATGGGGGAAGATCATTAAGGTGATTGGGTAGTGGTCTGTCTACTTTATCACAAAGGGGCAGGCAAGCGCAGGTACTGACGTCAGGTGGTGGACAGCAGGCAGGTGGGTGGGTTAGTCACATGATTGCTGCCTTGGTGGGGTTTATCTGTGTCACATAGGTCACAAAGGGCTGATTAGGTTAATTTGGGGATTTGGGGCCGGAGGGGTTTTTTCCTGCAAGAAACTTGTTAGACATTTGCACTTGTTAGACATTTGCAATTCATAGATTCCTTGACCAAAGGTGGTCATATTATCACTTTTATGACTTTGGCCAGCCAAAGGGTGATCTTTGACCTTCAACCTTCACAAGAAACCTAAAAGTTTACTAGAGATTATATGCTAAACAATGAATTGAAAGTTTGGGCTGTCCTGGTCTTAGAGATTTGCCAAGGGGGGATGGGATAGGCTACTGTTTGTCCTGCAGTAGAATGTCTGAATGCTTTCTAAGGGTTATGCTGAGGCAAAAAGACTAAACTAAGAATAAGCTAAGTTTCTTCTAGGTTTCTATAGGTACCACCTTTCAATAATAGCAAAAACATGGAACCAACCTAGGTACCCATCAACAGTGGACTGGATTAGAAAATGTGGTACATATACACCATAGAAAACTATATAACCATAAAACAGAATGAAATCATGCTTTTTAAAGTAGCATTGATGCAACTAGAGGCCATCTAAGTGAATTATTATAGAAACAGAAAATTGAATACTGCATGTTCTCAC